TGTTCCACATACCGCGAGGCAAATGGGTAAGACATATTTACACGGTTGTCAAATAGGTGAGGCAGTTCGTTGAATTCCCTAAACTTCCATTCCGCAAGCGGGGTGTATTGCCGCGACCCAAGCGCCGCCGGATTCTTGTGGTATTCCTATAGACTTGTAAGCAAATGAAGTTCGGGGTAGACGCAATACTTACATTGAAGTACTGGAAGAAATACACAATAAGTGTATATAAGACAATGACTGGCGCACAGAGAATGTTCATCAATCCTGCGAACAAAAACCGGCTGCGAAGAGCATCGCTTAATTGCCGTCTCTTGCTGTCCTTCAGCACCAGCTGCTGGATTTGTCCCTCAGGGGTAAATATAAAATCGAGGATACAGAAGTTCAAATTCCACTGAATAGTCCTCGAAAACAACTGGCGATTCCTGAAAAAAGGGATAGGAAGGGTCAAGTCGAGGATTTCCTTGTTGAACAACGCAATAAGGTAGTTCTCTTTCCTCATTAACCTGTTGGCAATATCATGTGCGTCCAAGCGCTGCTTAGACTGCGTGCCCATAAAGTGACGCAGGGCTGGTGAAACTTTGTCCGCTAGAATCGGATTCGAATCACGTAGGTTCATCAGCCTTGCCACAATCTCCTGCCACGATATCGTTTGCATGTCGTTGTCGGGGATTTCCAAGAGGTATAGATAGAAATCCTGCATTTTCCTCAAGCGAGAGATATCGACAATATCTAATATTGATTGGTATATGATATATAATACCAAGAGCCATATCGCAAAGTTTGGCATCCCGGACATGTTTTTCGTGCACTGGGGTACAACAATTTGTGACATAGATGTGCTATGCCGTATCTTGCTGTAATCGACACACTGAGTGAGGAATGTTGTAAACGTCGCAACGAAGACAATCCGCCTAGAATTAGGTTAGCACCTTTCTATCAAAGATAAGAGTATGGATCATCTTACAGGAGGTTGAGCAGCCTGTCCAGGCATATGGGCCATATCCCAGCTCCACGGTAGTATGCATAAACCTCTCCCATAAAGCGGTCCAAATTTGTAACGTTTATCCACATCCACATCGCTCTCTCTTTTCGACTCGCAGAAAATACCCCGGGTTTGGGGACGGCAGCCCTCGGTCTAGTTGCTCCCACATCATCATGTAGCCGTTGCTGCTCTTGTACTGCAGCCCATCGAGCTTGAGCGCTTTGTGTTGCGTCTGGTATAGGAGCAACCTTGACTTGTCGCGGGGACTGTTGCTGGGCCGCTGGTCGACTTGGTCCTCCAGCCCCCTCTTCTTCTTCTTCGATCAGCAAAGAAGCTGGGACGTCATCATCCCCATCGTCGTCCAGCATCCTCGGTGACCGCGATAGCCACTTGGCTTTGGAGCCACCCTTCGATCTCCGATCTCTGCCAGAGCTCTTGTGTGGTTTCTTTTTCGCTGGCTGTGCAAGAAATGCAGTACTCTCTGTCGTCATCCGGCTTTCATGGCCGTCGAAAAGGTCTTCATGTAGTTCGTAGTCTTGATATCGAGCCGCCAGGTTCTCCTCGTCTATGGCCATAGCAGCTCGCTCTTCGATATCTCCAGGATCTGCCATGTCATGATCACCAGCCCTTAGGTCTTCGTAAATCGACGGTGACATGTTGTTAGACGGTAGGAACCGCGATAATATGTGTGAGGCCATCCTGCTGGGAGAGCTGTTGATTGTGGCGGGGCGTGGTATTGCTAGCGCGAATTTGCCCAAAGAAGGACCTGGTATTGACGCCAGCAAACATTACTTTTCAAAGAAATAACACATATCAGACATCCTCCCAGTTATTTATGTCATTTTAAGCTCACTTCAAGCCAGTTTCGCAGAATCTGTTGCTGTGCACTTCTGTGTGCATCGTGATCATCAAGTTACCAGTCACAAGGTTACCTGGTAGGATACCTGGGGATGGATCCGCTGCCAAGCGACGGCCGTTCATCGGCTCGGAGAAAGAGTTTTTCCGATGAACTATTCTGGGTGAGTAACAATCGGGAAATTTATATGCGGTTCGACGTCTGTCTCTATATTTAAGCTGTTGTATATGCGGCGCAGCCACGATTTCATGAGGATAGGAAGCTTATAAGCCCTTATTGCTTGGACGCGTTTTCTCGGCGTGGCGCTAATCGGATTACCAGCGCCCCAAGGAGGACAAGAAATCAGTAGCCATGGCGGGGCAACAGAAGAACAACACAAAACCGGCGGCCAAGGGCAAAAAGATGGCGCCAAAGGCGAAGAAGGCCGATGAGCGCGAAGAGACGTTCCAGGCAGTGGTATGCAATGTCTATCAGCTATTAATTTACTCAATACTTACTTGCGCTAGGTTTTGACCGACTCTTTCGAGACGCGCTTTCTCCCATTCTCACTGGAGCGACCAAGAGTGAGTTCTACCCATGCGCCGCTCAGTTCCAGATGCCCGGCGATCTTGCAATTTGTATATTGTTACATTGGCTGATATGAAAACAGTGTCTTCTTCCAATCGGCAACACGCCAATGATTGATTATACTCTGGAATTTCTGTCTTTCAACGGGATCAGAGAGGTCATTGTCTACTGCACGGCGCATACATTTGAAGTGGAAGCATACTTGCTGGCTTCAAAATGGAACCCAGCGACCTCATTCGCCTCGCCATTCTCAAGTCTCGAGTTCATTCACTCTCAGTCCACTTCATACGGAGATGCCATGAGGATGATCGATAGCCGCGGCATTATTACTGGCGACTTCCTCCTAACCTACGCTGATGTTGTCTCGAACTTACCTATCGGCCCCATACTCCACAAGCACCGAACGAGAAGAACTGTGGACAAGAACGCAATTATGACGGTTGTCACAAGATACGGCGGGACTGGGCAACATCGGGCGAAGCCCAAGGCGGTTGTGCCAGTTTTTGTGAATAACCCACGCAATGTGCGCATTCTTCACTATGATGAGATGACTCCTTTCGATGAAAGGAAATACATTGACCTGCCAGTCGAGGTGCTCGAGGAGCCCGAGTTTGAGATGCGTGGCGATTTGATTGATACGGGAATCGATATCTGCACCCCAGACGTCTTGGCTCTTTGGTCGGAGTCGTTCGATGCCGAGAAGCCGCGATCCCAGTTTCTTCACAATATCTTGAAGGATTATGAACTCAATGGAAAGACGATCCATATTGAAATCGTCGACAAGCATTACGCCGCAAGAGCTAGCAACCTCCAACTGTATGACTGCGTCAGCAAGGACATCCTTGGACGATGGACGTTTCCAATGATTCCTGACAACAACTGGGTCATTGATCAAAAGTACAACCGTGGTGCTGGTGGCATAATCAAGGAAGACGGTGTTATTCTTGCCCGCAGTTGCAAGGTCGGCAAGAAGACTGTTCTTGGGAGAGCAACCAGTATCGGTGACGGCACAGTTATCAGCAACTCAATCATTGGCCGTAGGTGCCAGATTGGCAAGAACGTTGTCATCGAGGACTCCTATATCTGGGACGATGTTGTAGTAGAGGATGGTGCGCACATCAAGAAGTCCATTATCGCCAGCGAAGCTGCGATTGGCAAATCTGCAGCCATCCTTGAAGGAGCGCTCATTTCATATTCTATTCGAATCGGCAGCAACACGACCGTGAAAGCTGGCGAGCGTATTACTAGAGCAAAGCGCAAGCGCGAGGATGTTGATGGTGAGCCTCTTGCACGAGTGCCAGCAGACACTGCTATTGTCGGTGAGGGAGGCGATGGCTATGCCTACGAAGACGCCGAGGAGGATGACAAGGATACATGCCGTGATCTTCTCAGCACCCTTATCTACAGCACTGAACACCTCAATCTCTCCGAAGACTCCTTTTCGCAGATCGGATCCGATGCAGGTTCTGACGAGGATGAAGCAGAGGCACGCTCCCGGCACTCAAGTTTCGCAAGCGCAGTGTCTGATGACGAGGCCTCCGGAGATGAGTCAAGCGGGCAAAACTTCCACAAGGACGCTGTTGCAGATGTGTTCAAGACTCTGAGCGAGAGCGGCGACTTCCACAACACCCGTGTCGAATTCACATCGCTTCGTCTTAGTAATAACGCCACTGACCACCACATGCACCGTGCCATAGCAGTTGGTTTCATCAAGCGCATCGTGCAGCTCATCGAGGGCGGTGCTGAACCACTCAAGGCAGTCAAGCAAACGCTTGCACAAGAAGGCGCCACTGCTTTCCTGTCTGATGTTGCCCTTGGTAGGGACAAACGTGTCGGGGATCAGTCCGATCTCCTTACGAGCTTCCAGAAGGATCTCTGCAACCGCGAGAAGGGAGAGGCTGTCCTGTTTAGTCTCTGCAAGGAGTTCTACGATCTAGAAGTCATTGAAGAGGAGGGTTTCGAGGCCTGGTGGAAGGACCCTAAGAGTAGCGAGACTGAGCATATGCGCCGTGTCCGGGTGATGGCAGGTGGCTTCATTGCGTGGTTAGAGGATGCTGAAGAGGAGGACAGTGATGATGAGGATGAGGACGACGAAGACAGTGACTGAAGCTCTGAGCATGTTGATTGTACACGATTTATGTCATGTAGTGCAGATGATTACGAAATGAAAATACCTAGGGTGAAGACTCGGTAGTATCTCCGGCCGCAGTCTGAATGATCCTGCATGGGGCCTGCTCCAGGTATTAGGTTAAGGTAGTTCTCAAAATCGTGGGCAGGTTTTAAGTTCCACGCCAAGATTGTCCTTGGTGGGCGCCTACCTATCTTTACTAAAGAGAGGAATATATACACTATCAAACAAGTTATAAATCATTGTGGTATATCTGTATAAATAATTATTCAAATAATAGAGGCTGTAGATATGTAGTAATTAAACGGTGGTCGTCGTCGTTCAAACGTCATGGCTGTTGGTGATAGTTACGGAAGTGGAAAGCCTCACGGCCGCTTCACAAAGGCTCAAGCAACAAAGCCTCATCGACAACTCGAACGTGCCACCTCCCTCCTAAAGCAAAACCAAAAAAATGGCAAAAAACATGGCCAGACCCAGATTCGAACTGGAGTCTCCCGTCGGTTCTCAACCTCAAACTCGGAGGTTTGACGAAGGCGAGTTTGAATATATCCAAAACAGGCTGATAATTGAGAGACGGGTGTCTTACCACTAGACCACCGAGCCCTTTGAATTAAAGTATAGCCGTATAAAGCGGTATATAACCTGGCGGTTTCTAAGTAGGGGTAGGGGGGGTGGGGTATTAGCTGCATAGCACAACACCTAGAGGCATTACACGCACGCGCGAAGAGCATGACCCGAGCATAATGCTCGGCGACGACGTACTTATGCCCGAGAGTATTATCCAAGATTTATATTCTATGGCTTGACATTGTCTAGCGACGGTATGACATACAAAACGAACCCCCTTCTCTATCTATTCTAGCACTTTGATACTTAAATGTATCTCTTATCAGGGTCCACCCTATCCATCAACTCAATGCTCTTCTCGTACATAGTAAACACAATACCGCCACTAAGCATCAGTCTCACCAACCTCGGCAACGCTCCCGACCACAGCGTCAACACACCCTCGTTGCGCACAAGCTGGCTTCCACAGTCCCAGCTGTTCTTATATAGTTGCTTCGCCTCAATACTCTGCATGCGAGTCTTGATCGTGTCCACAGGCTGCGTCACATACACTGTGATCAGGCCTGCAAGACCTCCTATACCAAACGTGCTGGCTGCGCCCAGCTTCTCGCCAGGCGCCACGTACGATTCCGCGATCTGCTTGAAGAAGTTATACGACCCGAATCGTGTCGCCGAGTTGGCAGCCTGGCGTGCCGTCGTTGGTACGAAACCTTGGAAGAAGCCGCGAAGACCACGCTCGCGTGCGATTATGGGTACGGCGTGGAGGAAACCGCGCAGGCGAGGCTTTGCGGCTTTGCGGTCATCGATCCTAGGAGTGTCAACAGGCGCCACGAGATTAAAGGGACGGGACGGCTTACAGTGTGGTCTTGATACTCTCGAATGGGGTTACAGCAAGCAATGACTCGGTCACACCGGCTCCGAAACCAGCAATGACGGTGCGAGGGCCGGAGATATGACCGTTCTCATCTTGCAGCATGGACTTAAACTGGTCGAATGCCACGAACCGGACTCCCGCCTTCAAGGAGTTGCCGATTATCAGCGTTGTGCAGCCGGCGTACCATGCTGGGCCAAATTTTGGCCACGGGAGCTTATCGGCACCGGATAACCGTTGGTTGAGTTGTGTTCGGGTTTTCGCAACTATCTTCCTGTCAGTACTTCCATCCTCTGGTACTGGTGTCAAGAGCGCATCCTGCCGATGAAGCTATACAGCGGAATATATCCTAGGGTAGAGCTGTGCTCTTTGAAGATATCCCAGAGAATCAACCAGAAGTATTTGCAGTCGTTTGCCATAGATTTGCCGCCGCTCGGAAGGGTTCAAACATACATTCAGCAGGGTAGGTGATAGCTACAGTCGCATTATTAGCCCATGCTCTGAGAAACAGCCCACCTCTAGACCCTACTCCCAATGAAGCTATACTTACAGATTTCGACGGCACCAGCACTTGCCCCAGCTATCACCGAGCGGAGAGCACTTGGCTTCTCCTTGCGCTTCTCCGGCGCCTTTGTCGTCGACGCCATCTCTGCCTATATACCCGAGGGTGACTCTCCAATTGACGGTCCTTCAATGGCTCAGAGCCAACGGAAATAAATATCCAAAGGCGCAAAGCAATTGAGCTATTGCAAGAGGCCCAAAAGCAATGGCAAGATAGTTGAGCTAGTCGGCGAGAATGGAGTTGAGGATGTGCACCCCGCTACGATAGGAAATAAAGTTTTGACGAGGTCCGATGCGGCGTCAGCAATTATGACGAAATCTGGGGAACAGGGGCCCGCGGCTTTGACCTGGATTAGCGCTAAACGTAGCAGCTTCGCGTCTCACACTCTAAACGCCCACATGCCGAAATAACGAAGTCGTTGACACAAATGTAGAGGAAATTTTGCTATATATCACATTACAAGCAATGCTGTCGTACTGTTGCTTTGCATTACTGCTCTCCCTCAGGCAGCTCACGATCCTCAATGGTAGTATTTTGGACGAGATATACAAGGTTTAACCTCTCACCGAACTGCCATGCCCCCCTAGAGCGGTGCACAGCGGTGCAAGGCTTCGTCCTCAAAAGGCATTCAGATCAACAGCCTCAATCTCGTTCACTATGGAATAGACCATACACAAAGGAAAACTAGATGGTAAGAGCATAGCTTTCTACCTGTTTATACTCTGTCTAGTTACTCGTCCTTTCCTATCGATGTCCATACTGCCCCTTGTTCTTTCCTAACACTGTTCATATCACCTTCCGTGTTTTCCTAACTTTGCTCACATCACTCGTGTTCTTTCCTAATTCAATCATCCATATTACACCTCGTTCTATCCTATCTCAGATTGTATTGCTTCTCGTCTCTTCCTATATCTATACATATCGCGTCTCGTTCTTTCTTATATTGTATATGTTGCCTCTCGTCCATTGCTATTTTTATGCATGTCGCACCTCACTCTTTCTTATATTTATATATGTTGTCCCTCGTCCATTGCCATTTCTATCTATCCCATTTACCTTCGTTCGTGCCTTCCGCACTGCGTTCAGCTCTGCCTATCACTAAAATAAACGACGATACCACCTGTCTTCTCATACATCTCATCATGCTACCTCTCACCAAGATGTACGGTATCAACTCCATATTCAGGGCGATGATCGTTGTTACGGTGGACCCCGGTGATACAAGTCATCCGCTTCGTGAAGCCACGACCGTATGGATACTGTGTGTAAGCATAGCTTTCGTCCTCTTCATCAATGCTTGGGCTATTCGGGTCATTCGTCAACGAATGCGCGGCCAGGAAGCTGCATCCGCCAACCCAGAGCGCGCAGAGTCGCCCGCCAGATGGCTTGCGATGGGAAGTCTAAGTGCACAAGTTCAATCCCGCACACCTCGGCTTGGACATCAACTTCAAGCGCTGTCATCTACAAATACGCTTCACATATCGCCGCCCGAACAGCCTACAGGCGGTCCAAGTGATCCATCGAACGATACAGAGCGTAACGATGAACGGTTTTCCGTAGCCGCCGGGGACATGGCCTCATTTTCTCTCACACCTGACCAGACTGAGGAACAATTACCAAAGTATATGGAACGCGATCATGATTTGCCCGATTACGCGGATCAGAATGGTATACCAGCCACATGATGGGGAAGAGAGCTACGGACGGAAATGTCGATCTGAGCAGGTTAGATGTTACAGCGAACTGCGGATTGGATGATAAATTCAGACAAGTCGATAAAAGAGTCGAATTATGGTTTTTTTGACGACATCGTCTGAGTCTATGGCCAGAATGACAAACATCGTCGAACTACTGGACATGGTGCACCAGAAACGATGCCGCATTTGGAACCGCGGAAATGTTGGTAAGTGCCGAAAGCCGAGCTGTTTTAATTCCGCGCTGACAGTACCATCAGATATGCTTGGAGTATTCTTTTCGCCCGATGGGCTAGTTGCGACATATGGATTAGAATGAAGCACAGCCAGCGTAATACAATACAGTATGGACAAAACACGTATTAGTACTACATCAACTTTGCAAACCAATGGAAGAAGTTCAACTGTATTCAGTCGGTCAATTCTATGGCTTATGCTCATTTTTAGACAAGGTTAGGCTGGCGTGATACTACCTCGGGGACGGGCCAAGGGCGGATCAAGGTCGAGTAGTGGGGTGATGCGGGGATGGGAATGTTGAGTTGCATATTGCTCCTGACTAATTACGAACGACTACAAACTCATGCTCAGGAGAGAGCAATGAGCGGGGGATGAAGTCCGAGGATTTTGTCACCGGACTCTACCATTAGTGATTTACTAACACTCACAACAGTGCCAATTTTGTAACTCTTATTGCAGCCATTCTCTACCGAACAAGCTTTACTAGGTTTATAGGGACACAAGCTAGGAAGAGACGGCATCAAGTGCCGGCTACAGGCGGCGCGGGGGGCCTTCCCGGACTTGATTGCTCCTTCCTCGAACCAAGTCGAGAGCTCGCACACCAGACAATGGCCTAATAGTAGCACCAGCATATTGAAATTGTTGAAGTCATGTCCCCACAGGATAATGAGCCCGTTGGGTATTAGATGAATAGAGCAGCAAGAACTAATAGTCTACTGACGATGCCCTACTGGAAATGATTACAGTCTTGACTAAATTCCAGGGGCCAAGCTCTGATAGCCTCTTGTTGTGGGCTATGGAATCTGGGACAACGTCATCACATACCACAATTTGACATCGACAACCATCGCAAATTCCATTTGGCTCATGGATCAGTAGTAGAACAAGAGGTAGGGCTTCACTTCCGTTTTGCTTCACAAATTTACTATCGTGCCAATATCATCGGCCTTATTCAACAACTAGGCCGATCTAAGCAACATTGCGAACCATCACGAGCACCATAACGATCGTGGTCCACTCTCTAAGCCCATGTCCAGCTTTTAATTGCTTCTTAAGACCTCTATTTCTGTCAAAATCAATTTATTTGTATTCCATTGTTTCTGTTATACACCGATCAAATTTGTTGTTCGATTTAATATTTTTCAATTGTATTTATACACTAAGATGCCTCCTCTAAGATGCGTCCCTCCTGCCAAGGCAATTAAGGTAAGTAACTCATATCACCCCATCTAACAGAGTTTCTAACTGCGTCAGACCGAACGTACGCACGAAGAGAACCAAGAGCGGGCTTATATCGCCGCCTCAAGGAGGAGTGACCGCTCATTAGAAGCTCGTGTAGAATCGGCTAGGCGTGCATCAGAGATACACAAGCGACGGACCGGCAGATCGTTGCGAGTCTCCGAGGAGGATGTAATTAATGAGGAGATGTATGAGGAGGAAGAAGACGACCTACCTCACCAGTACCGGTGCATTACTGCCCACCTCAACAGCCAGTCCACCGACCTCAACCATCGGTTCTCAGATTACCTCACGAACCACATTGGGATGCGGTCAGTTCTTGAAAAGGCCCTAAGCGACTCATATGCTACACAGGCAGCGCAGCAAGCAGGCCAGGTTCCCAATTCGTACCCGACCGTCGCCAACATGATGAATGCGCAAATGGGTTACCAGG